ATGCTTCAGAATCTACCCAGTTTCCTAAAGTGAATGCAAGAACCCCATTCCTAATCTATGCTGGCTTCAAGAGGTTAATTGCTGAATTCGTCAGCTGAACCTGACTTAATCCTGCCCTCTAATTGTCTCTCCTTGGAAACGGGCGAAAAATCAGAGAGAAAATGTGCCAGCTATTTTTAAATTTCCAGAACCTGTTGCTAGGCACTGCGGTGTGCAAGGTAGTCTGGTTGAGCAGGGAGAAACGTGGCTGATGAAGAAAGAAGCTAAGATGGATTCCTGCTGCTCTCCCCACAGCCACATGTGATGCCACATGGAACATGAGAACCAGAGCAAGAATTGGAGCATGAATGCTTCAAGGGGGCATCTTTGCAGCTCTCCTTTGTTCTTTTTCTTTAGAATAGGTAGACCTATAACCAAACATTACCAGACAACCTGTGCCCCATTGGGCCATTGTTTCAGAGCTATATCCTTATCAGAGAAACAGAACGACCATGGGCAGGCCAAAAAGCAGTGGGGCAGGAGTGATTTCTGACTTCCTGCTGGCTTCCCCATTGACTTTGCTTAGGGAAAGCTGGCAGGAAGCATTGGAAATTCCCTTCCCTTCCTTTTCCAGTAAGCAGGTAAGTATGGGGAAGGAGCAAGGGATTGCGAGACTGGCTGGGAAACTGTCATGAAACTTTGAAAAATGAAGATCACATGACCGGAGCAGTAATAGCACTAAAGCAGCTCCAACTTTGCATTGCTCGAGGCAACAGAAGAGACAAACCCATCAGAGGCAAGGGAATTCATCACCCTCTTAAAGAGGAGCTTCAAGCATTCATTTATGATAGAGTAAGTGAGCAGATAGATTCACTATCAGATCCAATCTCATTAAGGTCCTACTATGGTTTTCTATGCAAGGTTGGATAGCTGTGAGTCTACCATAGAGACTAAGATGTCCAAAGTGAAAGGAGGAAAAGCCATGAGCAAAGAAAGGCTGGCAGTAGATCCAATAGGCTACAAGTCCTTGCATTCCTCTGCACCCTTTTTCTTGAGATGCTGTTTCTGCAACACATTGTACCCGCTTGGATTAGAGTGCATATGGAACATATGACCGGCCTTGTGCATGTAGAATTTCATCTCTACCATAGAGATGAAAAAAGAAAGATAGAACACTTAAAAGAATAGCATTAAGACCTACTTGATGGCAGGTTTCACCTAAAACCATGAACAGTGGAAAATTAAAATATTGTAGGAGAAGGAATGACGGGATCCGGGGATGGAGTGAAAAGAGGAATCATCCTAGAATTTCTACATAGCCACAAACAAACTAAGCCCAATCCCACTTGTGTGCCACTGGCCCTTATCTAACTAACCAGATGCTGATGGTGAGTTGAGAAGGTTGTTAGCAATAAATCAGTTTAATTGAACTTTCACTTGTAGACCTGGTCTTTCGTGCCTGACATATATTGGCCTAAGGGTATTGATAAGATCCTAAAAACCAGCTGTGCAGAGAAGATCTTCTGGAGGGTTCATGTTCTCCACCATAAAGAACAATAGGCAAAGTTTTAGTTTTCAGTGATAGAAGCTACAGATTAGTTCTGCAGAGAAATCTTCCCCAGGGAGAGAAAAAAAGACGAGATCCAGGCTAGACATAAACTGACGATTCCGCTTTTCGTTGTCTGCCGAGGTCTCCAGTCGGATAATGTTCCTTATCTTCATTAATAATCTCTATTATGGGTGTCCCTCTTCCCTTTTATCCTTCTCGATTTCCTGTGATTTCCATGCAGAGCCAAAGCAGAATAGAACATCTGGTCGTGGTTTAATATACAAAAGAAATCTGTAATTAAAAATGTCAAGGAAGTAAGCAACTTAAACTAATTCATTAAAAATGCAAGGCAGAGATTTCCATTCACAGGCAAACCCTTAGATGAAAAGCTTGCAAATTTGACCTGATTTGCTGGCAGACGGGACTATCTCAGTAATTAAAGCTCTTAGACAAAAGGCAGAAATCGGCAGGGATTTTTTATTGATTTTTTTTTTTTTTTGCTTTTTAAATAGTAGCAGAAAAAAGAACAAAACACAGATAATTGCAGTGCAAATGCATACATTTCAGAAAGAAAAAAAATGCATAAAGTGCTTTAAGAAATGAAAAAAATCAACAGAAAAAAACCACAAAGTATATTGTTACAGTAGATAACAGTGACAGTTCTATATGTGTGTGTGTGTCTAATGTAATTGTTATTTAAGTGTGCGTATATTTCTAATTTGCTTGCAAAAACATCCTTTTTTAAACCTACTGTATTTTGCATGAATTTGTTTATTTATTTCACCTGGCTGTTGCAATTTTAGAACTGGGTCATAAGTACCTTTTGGGAGACCTGTTGTAACTTTGAATGGTCACTAAGCTGCGGGTTATAAGTCAGGACTACTGTATTCTTACTACATCTCCAGCACAATGTTATCTTAATCCTTTTCTGGATTACGTAAAAATGTAATGGAGTACAATACATTCTAAATATTTTTGTGGGATCCTTAGTGATCTCTGAGCTTCGTTGATTTCTTGCGGACGTTTCACTACCAAACTAGGTAACATTATCAGTGCTAGAAGGAAGGGCGGTTTGCTCTCTGCCTATATACTAGTCACTTGCCTTGATGTTGTCACCTAGTAACCTAACAAAAAGCCAATGCAGTCTTAGGCTGCATCAGCCAAGGGATAGCATCAAGATCATGTGAAGTGTTAGTACTTCTTTATACGGTTCCGGTAAGACCACAGGGCAAATATACTGTGTTCAGTTTTGATCACCAGGATACAAAAAAGATATTGACACTCTAAAAATTGTGCCGAGAAGAACAAGACGATCAGAGGGCTAGAGGCTAAACCATACAATGAATGGTTATGGGAGCTAGGTATGTCCATCCTATCAAAGAGGAGGATTAGGGGGGTGATATGATAGCCGTGTTCCAATATTTGAGAGGCTGCCAAAAAGAAGAGGGGAGTCAACCAATTCTCCAAAACACCAGAGGGCAGGACAAGAAGCAATGGATGGAAATTAATTAAGGAGAGAAGCAACCTGGAACTAAGGAGAAACTTTCTGACAGTGAGAGCAATTAACCAGTGGAACTCCTTGCCTCCAGAAGTTGTGGGTGCTCCAACAGTAGAGATATTTAAGAAGCGATTGGACAGCCATTTGTCAGGAATGGTATATGATCTCCTGTTTGAGCAGGGGGTTGGACTAGAAGACCTCCAAGGTCCCTTCCAGCTCTGCTATTCTGTGTTCTGTTACTTTTTTGTTGCCTAAGTCATAATTTAAGGTCCATTGCCACTTTTGCTATGGGAGTTGAGGAACCTCTGTTCCACAGCAACGTGGAAATAAATGTGAAATCTGCACATTATGCCTAGGGATGCAAAGGCGTGGCCATGATTTGTAAAAACTGAACTGCAGATTTTTCCTCTTTTGTTATGTGAGAACCTGAGCAATTTTGAGCATCTTGGAAAAAACGCAGCCAGGTGAGGCAGTACCATTTCTTCTTCACCGTGTTGTGGTGAGAGAATTGGGATGGGAAGAGAGCATCAATGCTTACAGGATGCAAGATAAATTTATTTTCAATCAAAATCCAGCCAGCCTTTTATTCTGCTCCAAGGAGAATAGGGAAACACTTTTTCCACTATATTATCGCAATTTGAGACGTGTGGGAGAAGTTATAAATAAAGAAGCAACTGCCCTAAATTCTCTTCCTTTTTGCATCTCAGAAATTCTTTTTTGGGGGGGGTGGGGGGGGGTTCCTGACATTATGTAGTTTTCTGCTTTCTGTGCATTTAACACCACTCTGCTGTTCTTTTGCAACATTAAATTTTAATGCCTTGTTATTTCTGTCGCTTGTTAATCCTTCAGCTGTCACCAGTGACAGATAGCTGTTTCTCCCACTCTCTTTTCCTTGTTTTGGAGGAATTTAAAATCTCCATTCAGTCTGGTAAAAATACGGTAAGTGGGAGAGTTTTGTGCACTCATAATAAGCTACAAAGGGCTGCGGGAAATTCTCTGTAGAGTCTCAAACCATTAATGAAAGTCCACGCCAAGACCTGATGTGATGAGCATCACAACAACCCTGTGGTCATGTGATCAAAATTCGGACACTTGGCAGCCGATTCGTATTTATGACGGTTGCCGTGTCCCGGGGTCATGTGATCCCCTTTTGCGACCTTCTGACAAGCAAAGTCAGATTCACTTAACAACCTTGTTACTAACTTAACACCTGCAGTGATTCACTTAGCCGCTGTGGCGAGGAAGGTCGTAAAATGGGGCAAAACTCACTTAACCAATGTCTCGCTTAGCAACAGAATTGTTGGGCTCAATTGAGGTCGTAAGTAGAGGACTACCTATATTTCTTTGCCTAAGAGAAAACAAAAGGTATTTTAATAAACATGTGGCTTTCATTTTTCCACCGTGCAAATAAATGTTAAAATTAGCGGTTCAGAGGATCAAAGCCTTTCGCTTGGAGATTACTAATGTCAGCAGGAAGAGGATCATGGTACAAACAGGGTTTATTTAGAGATGGGTCAGAAAGAGTTATTTAATGTAAAATGTGTCCTATGCATTTCACAGAATAGCTTTTTGTTGGCTTGCCTGCTTATGGACTCTAACCCAGTGTTTTTCAAACTTGGCAAGGTTAAGATAGGTGGACTTCAATTCCCAGAATAGAGGCTGGCTGAGGAATTCTGGGACTTGGTTCACAAGTTTTAAAGTTGCTAAGGTTGAGAAATATTGCGGTAGGTAGTTAGGTAGGTAGGTGATGGATGACAGATAGGTAGATGGATGGATGGATAGATTTAGTGGTCACAGTGTCTTCCTTCCTTCCTTCCTTCCTTCCTTCCTTCCTTCCTTCCTTCCTTCCTTCCTTCCTTCCTTCCTTCCTTCCTTCCTTCCTTCCTTCCTTCCCTCCCCTCCCCTCCCCCCTCCCCTCCCCTCCCCTCCCCTTTCCTTTCCTTTCCTTTCCTTTCCTTTCCTTTCCTTTCCTAGCAACAGCTGCAGTCCTACATCACCTGGGTGAATTCACAACTAAAGAAGAAGCCAGAAGTTCAACCCGTGCAAGATTTGAGACACGACCTCCGGAATGGTGTGGTCCTTGCTTCTCTCATTGAGATTGTAGGTGAGCAGCCTCATTGAAAATCCAGACTCCTGGATTTAATCTGGATTAAGTGGGAGGAGCAGAGAACCTGTGCAGGAGAGAAGTGCACACATCACTGTTCACCTCCCACCTGTTTGCATTACTCACATTTCACTTAAATGTATTTCAGGGGAATTCTGGGAGCTGAAGTCCATCCAGCTTAAAATTGCAAGTTTGAGAAACGCTGTAGTGTACTAGCTTTCTAATGCTTCAAGAAGAGAACAAAATATATTTTATATTCACAGCGGCATCCTAGGTCAAGGGGTTGACCATTGTCCCCCTGCCACACTTCACACCTGCAGATTTAAAATTTTACTCCTCCTCCTTTGCAGCTGGAGAGAAACTCAGTGGTGTGGAGGTGTCTCCCACCAACCAGCAGGCCATGAAGAAGAACGTGGAAAAGGTCCTACAATTTGTGGCATCAAAGAAGATCCGCATGCACCAGACCTCGGCTACAGGTGAACCTCAACCGTAAGCCACTCACCTTGAAGGGCCTGGATGCTCCTTGCCCTTGGTCTTCTCTTGCTGAGGATAGTAGAACATGGGTGCAAGAAAGGGAGAGATGGAAGGCAAAGCCATGCGTTGTGTCCACTGTGACCGTGGACATTTTGTAGTTCATGAGGAACTTTTGGGCTACCAGATTTGAAGTTCTGGCTGTTTTGGGCCAGAAGGTGGACACAATAGGGTTGGTAAAGTCAGGAAGGGTGTGACTCTACACATCTCATGGTGCTGCACATCTCATGAGCATCGGAGGGACCTTTGGTTCCTTCAAACCATTGCGTGTCTTGCTTCATGAGGTTGTGTGCGAGAATGTCTGTGTCAGCCTCATCAGAGCTCTCAGAAGCGACACTGTACAGCCCACAACGAGTAGGACGCAGGTCTTGAAAGGGTTCTCCATGACTGTACAGGTGGTCCTCGACTTTACAACAGTTCATGTAGTTGACCGTTCAAAGTTACAACGGCACAGAAGAAGGGGACTTATGACCGTTTTTCACACTTAACGACTGTTGCAGCGTCCCTGTGCTCATGTTATCAGAATTTGGATGCTTGGCAACTGACTCACATTTATGACGGTTGCCGTGTCCCCCGGGTCACGTGATCCCATTTTGCAACCTTCTGACAAGCAAAGTGAAATCGGATTCACTTCACAAACCGTGTGACTAACTTAACATTTGCAGGGATTCTCTGGCAAGAAGAGTCCTAAAATGGAGCAAAACTCACTTAACTACCATCTCACTTAGCAACAGAGACGGTTTAAGGTGGCATTATGATTGTAGTGATGCTGGGCTACCCTTCGCGGGTTGAGTGATAGCTTCAGACTCATCTCCCTGGGCCAGTCACCGCCATTTTGGCATGTTTGTGTTTTCCAGACATCGTTGACGGGAATTTGAAATGCATCATGCGGCTGATCCTGGCGTTAGCCGCTCACTTCAAGCCCGGCTCCGGCAAAATCGCCCCATCCAGCGCCATGGAGAAGAACTCGGGGGGAGGTGGAACGTTGCCGGCCCGTCACAGGCCTCGCTCGGCCGTGGCCACCGTCCACGGGGCGGTGGCTGCTCTGGCAGAGGTGCGCCAGGACATCTTGGGAGGGGGCCGTGATGCCATCCAGCACCACCCGAGGTGCGTGATCTGTTCGGGACAGCAGTCGACTCTTTGCTGGTTGTTGATATTTACAAGTCGCCATCGTGGCGAATATCTATAGCTCAGAGGGTGGAGGGCGAGGGTGAAGGTTCGCTCTCCGAGCCTGTGGGATGGTTTCTGAACGTTTCGTTATCAGGCTGGGTAACATCTTCAGCGGAGATTAGGGGATGTCAGTGTCATTGACACACCCACACCTGACCCATTACAGCAGTGTTTCCCAATCTTGACAATTTTAAGGCATGTGGACTTCAACTCCCAGAATTCCACAGCCAGCAACGCTGGCTGTGGAATTCTGGGAATTGAAGTCCACATGCCTTAAAATTGTCAAGATTGGGAAACACTGCATTACAGGACCCGTGACAAGACCCTCATTCGACACACCCACACCCGAAGCCCTTATAAACAGAGGAACACCAACACTGACATCCCCTAAACTCTGCTGAAGATGTTACCCAGCCTGGTTCGGAAACCAGCCCACAAGCTTGGTGAATGAACCTTCACCCTCATTTACAAGCAGTTCTCGACTTACAACGTTGAACTTAGGGTGGCATTGAAAAAAGGGAGGGATCCTTACAATTGTGGCAGCATCCCCACAGTTACACGATCAAAATTTGGGTGCTAAACAGTTATTTGCGGTCATTGTGGCATCCCGGGGTCACTTAATCACCATTTCCGACCTTCCCAGCTGACTTCTGACACGGAAAGACAGGGAAGAAAGCCATATTCACTTAACGACCGTGTGATTCTTTCACAACTGCAGTGACTCACTTAACAACCATAGTTACTTACAGGTTACTTACAGGACCACATACTGCCGCACAGTTCCCAGAGACCGGTGAGGTCCCATAGATTGGGCCTCCTTCAGGTCCCGTCGGCCAGACAATGTCGGCTGGTGGGCCCTTGGGGAAGGGCCTTTTCTGTGGTGGCTCTGACCTGGTGGAATCAACTTCCCCCCGAGGTTCGAACTACTCCCACCCTGCCGGCCTTTAAGAAAGCCGTTAAAACTCTCCTGTTCCGGCAGGCCTGGGGCTGATGTCCCCGGGGGGGGGCGGGATATGATCGGACTCGCGGTATGATTGTATTATTTTATTGTTTTATTGTTAGATGATTGTTTTAAATTTGTACGCCGCCCTGAGTCCTTTGGGATTGGGTGGCATATAAATAAAATTAAATAAATAAATAAATAGTGAAAAGGGGTCATAAAATCTGGCGCAATTCACTTAGCAACCATCATCTTTTGAAAAGATCCTTTTTGGGACCAACCCCCAGAGGGCAAGGAAAGGATGCAGAGGGGCAGGCAGGATTTTGATCCGTCTTTCGGGGCCGTTCTTGGCCTTCTCCTGACGCTGCCGTCGTTCTCTTCAGAAACAGCAACCCGCACGAGGAGATTGAGCGGCCGCACTGGAGCGTCCGAGCACTCGTCCAGCAGTACGAGGGCCAGCAGAGCAGTGGCCCTTCGGAGTCCTCTTTCTCCAGGTGAGAGGTGCTCCCCTTCTCTGCTCACTCCGTCGTCCCTCCCTCCCCCCCCCCCCGGGGTCCTGGGCTGACCTTTGAGAATAAGCAAGGCTGCTCGTGGGCCCGCCCTTGAGATGACGAAGTCACCATTTTGCCTCTCCTTGCCCCCTCCTCGTTCATGAATCAATCCATCCCCATTGGACAAAGGTCACTTGTTTCCTGAAACAAAAGAGCCACGTCCTTCCACAAGTCCCGCTGGGAGACTTCTGTGGCTCTGCTCCTTGTTGCATTCAGCTAAGGACCCACCCCACGTTGCATCTTAAGAAGACAGAACTCTTGGAATAATTCTTCCAACAGGAATCTTTTATTAAGAGAAAATGGTTGCAGGCGTTCTAGACAGGACTTGGGGTTCAAGCTCTCCCATTTGAGGTTTTAAGGGGTTCCCCAGTAGTCCCACCCAATCACCCCCCTCTTCCAGTGACAGTTTCAGGCATCACAATCCCACCCCTTTTTTCCTTTCTGCCGGCTGGATGGAGACTTCAGATAAACTACATGAAAGGTAAATAGCCTCCTTTGTTATGATAAGGCCTTTTGGTGCTAACCACATTCAAACCCTTTGAAGTTGTACCAAAGGAAGTGAGAGCCATAAAGCCCCTTTGTTCACCCCCCTCTCTTTCTTTATGACAGAATCCAGAGAGGGCAGAAATGGGGTTTTCTATAATTGATAACTGGAGATGAAGTATAATTGGATTCTGACAAAAGAATTCTTCTAGAAATAACTGCTAATGCTCTTCCAGTGATCACTCCCTGGGACTTTGAACGGGCAGATCCAGTGATCCTGATGTTCAGCCATTTTCCTAGAATTCCTTGGCTTTTATAGCAGAACGTGGATAAAACCTTGAACCTGACTGGGGTTCCCCTGATTCCTGCCTGCCAGCGTTCATCTCTGCTGTTTTGTCGGGATGCTGCTGCCGCCTTTAAGCCCTTGTTGAAATCCTTATTCAGTCCCTATCTTTGGAACTCAGGAGGCTGCGCATGAATCGGTTTGCCAGTTTGCATGCTCTGTTCGTCTCCCTGCACTTTTCACTAGGTGCTACTTCTGGCCTTCCATAATGTGTGGGCTCCTGGGGGGGGGGTTGGGTTTGGCATATATAATTCACCAGTGGGTTTTTAGAAGAGTTCCTACAAGTGACTTTTTACTCTGGGAAACATGAAGTGGGAGAAAAAGTGAGGAGACTGGAGGTATCTTTTCTAACTAGCCTAGTTTGATAAAAAGGCAGTTGTGAGGAGGAAAACCAGTTTTTGTGATTGTTATGGAAAGCATCTGGTTCTTTAGTCACTGTTCGTCCTGCAGGATGGCCTCGTCTGCCTGGAGCACCTCTTGACCTCCGTCTAATGTGACTTGGCCCTTCCCGGGCCTTCTAAATGCTCAGATCCATCTCTTTCCCCAAAGTTCTCATCATCCCTGCATGATAAAAAAAGTAATAATTCCTCGCCGACTTTATAAGCAGGCCTGTCGCTTTGGGATATGGAGACCCCGGGCTAGTGAGTAAACTTTGCCTTTGTGTAGGAATGGTCTTGTTTTTGTGGCTTTGGGTTTGGCAGACATGGGACGAAAATTGAGGATTGCGTCAAGGATGTGGGAGAGAGACAGCGACACAGGAGATGGCAGGATGTGTAGCTGAGGTGTAATTGTGGCTTTCTGCTACGAAGGCCCCATCAAGGGGGATAAAGGACCTTCAGTGTATTTGTGAATGTTAAAAACAATGTTTAGTTAGGTCTGCATGGATGCTTTGCAACTTTGGTGGATCAGCAGCACGTCCAAACTGCCCTAGAGAGAGTAGGGGGGAGTTTGTGCATGGATGTGGTACACAGATGAGGCCCAGTGTCCTGAAAACAATCCGGGCACAATCCTTCTCCACATTCTGTGTTGTGCTCACTGGAGATGTTGAGATGCCTTGCTTAGGAGGCATAGACCTTGCTACTGATCCTGAGAGATAATATTAAAGAACTGGGTCCCTGAACATTGTAAAAGCGAGTTTGGGTTTTGAGGACATCCGTGTTCCTTTGAGTCTTTTAAAGCGCAAGATGCCACTTGTTAGCTGGGGAAGAACAAGGTAGCTTCAGGTTTGTCCATCTTCTTCATGGCAGGGGGAAAAAAGGAATATTTGAGACTTTGCTTAAACACTCCCACCAACAAGGGCAGGGCAAGCCGCGGTATGTAAACAGAGCAAACCCCGCTGCCTTCTAGCACTGATGATGTTACATACTAGGGTCATGAAACGTCTGCAAGAAAATTAACAAGCTCAGAGCGCCTCCAAAACCCCACAGGTCAATATTCTCTTCTGTTGGTAGTTTGCTGTTTGTCTAACCCTAAAATAAAGAGAGGGGAGTGACGGGTTTGAAAACGGACTGCACGTTTGAGATGGTTATCCTTTAAAATTTTCCGGGAGATCAAGTGGATTAACACCTGTGCAAAACAAGGATTTTTCTAGCCCAGCCTGACAATATCAGCTTCTCAGTTCATGGACAGGCTGGAAAGAAGCCACATTGGGCTCTTGGAAAATACCTTCCACCCAGTGGGGTGGGGATGCTTTGTCAAAATACTTGTGTTTTGCTCCTGGCCTTCATTTAGGAACCCTAGGCTGAGGGGACAGAGAGGCTGTTCCCTGAGCAGCAGCTCATTAAAAACAGCATTTCACGGGAATTAAAGGGAGTGGTCCAGCGCCCTGGCTCCCCTCCAGGTCGAAGAATTACAATTTGCTCCCCGCAGGTCGCTCGGCTGCTCTAATTGGCAGCTCTTCCCTTTCTATGTTTCTCTCCTAAACTCTGCCAGCATCCCAGGGACATCTCTGCTGCTGCTGCCCTGCGTCCATTGCAAAGGAGTCGGTGGGTTCTCTCTGTCCCCCACCCCGGCTCTTTCGGGGTGTTTCCGTTTTCCCCCAAGAATTATGAAATGAGCCGTGTTTGTAAATCCTTTGCCGGACAGAGAAGATTGACCGTTGTGTAGGGTTGTGTCTGTGTCCGGGGAGTGTGAAGGAGGACTTCCAGAAGGAACTTTATGAGCTTAGTGTAAATCTCCGGGTGGCTCAGAAGCGCCTAGGCGCGATCTGTCCCTTGTAATCCGCCCTTCCCAGCTTCCCGTCTGCAGGATTAACCTGCCACTGGAGTTAGTGCAGCAGTGGGAAAAGGCCTTGGCCACGTACCTGCCATTTATAGATTTCTTGGTTAGAAGTGCAGGCATCCTCAACTTACAACAGATCCTTTAGTGACCGTTTGAAGTTACAACGGCACTGAAAAAATTGATTTATGATCATTTTTCACACTTAACGACCGTCGCAGCATCCCCACGGTCACGTGATCAAAATTCAGACAATTGTTGTTGTAAGTTGAGGACTACTATTTATTACTATCAAAATCTCCTCCTCCTCTTCTCTTTCTCTTCCTCCTCCTCCCCCCCCTCCCAATATCAATTACCATAAAATCATTTGGATGGCAAAATTCAGGTTTTTTCGGACTCTCTTTCTTTTTACCTCCCTTCGCTTTGAGAGGCAGGAGCATTTCTCTTGGTCTGGCCCAGCTGTAGCTCTTTGGGATTTTTTGTTGCGTGTGTGGCCTTGTGTGTTGTGGGTAGCTCAGCAAGGACCCAGTGCAGGAGCTGCCAGAGCTGAATGAGGAATGGAGCCAGGCACAGCGCCTTTAATTCCTCCCAGCCCAGAGCCTGGCTTTATCCAGCTGCAAAACATGGACAGAGCATCTCATTGGGACTTGGACCACTTGGGTGCAGCTCCTCCCCAAGCACACATTAAGGGGGAGTCTGGGATGGGGAGGGTCCACGAAGCCCATTCTTGCAGCCGAGGCCCGTTTTCCAAATGACAGTTCTGTTTGCATGCGGTGTGGCTTGATGCTACACAACAGGTCGGTGTGGGTTGATGCTACACAACAGGTCAGCATGCCTCTGCAGAAGGAAGCCGCCGCACTTCCTGGTCTCCCAAACGGTCCCGTCTTTCTCCTCCCCCCAGGAGGAAACAACCAACTCTGGCAAATGAGGGGCTGGAAAGGGCGGGTCTGACATGCAGAAGGGGCTCCGTCTGTTTTGCATGGTGCAGGGGCTTGGCTCTGCTACCCCGCCCCACCAGGGGAGGGGACACAGAGCAAAAATCCTTTGCACCTCAGGAACACAGTAGGGGGGGACGTTCCCACGCAGGGCATCGCTCCCCATATCCCGCTATTCCACAGGGATGCTTTTAAATGTTTTGTTGGGAAGGGGAGGCAGCGGTCCTGAGTGACTCACAGGAGCCCTGGCCAAATCCTGCTGCTTTTCCCAGGCAGCTCCCTTCCTCCCCCCCCTCGCCCCTCCTTCCCCCCCCCTCCATCATCCAGGGCTTAGACAACTCGAGGAAAACGCCGCTGTCTTGCAGAGCCCCAGTGACAGCAGGCAGGAGTGCTGCAGAGAGCAAAGCCTGAAGCGACACACACATAGACACACACACTTTCTTGCGGGTGTGTGCATTCCCACATTGGGGAGGGGCTGGCTCCCTGCCACCCTACGTGAGCCACCCGGCCTCCATCCCAGGAATTCTTCACCTTAACTTGGGCTCTTCCAAGCAGCGGCTGAGAAGGGAGAAAGGAATCGGCTGCCCGGGATGGGATGAGGAGAAGGAGACCCAGACGGCTCTCTGGGGCTGCCAAAAGGAATTTGGACATGCGTCAGACCCGCAGCGCAACAGTGCAAAACAAACAACATCGTCCTGGCTGAGCTGAAAAACAGGGCTGCTGCTGCCTCAGGGACGCCTTGATTTGCAGCGCCTTCCGAAGAAGCGGGACTCCGGCGTTTCTCCTGCTCGCCACGTCTCTCTTCCCAGCTCTCGACTGACCTGGGCAAGGTTTCTGCCTCCGCTTGGCCAGCCTCCCTGGCGCAGAAGGGCCAGGCTGGTGGAGGGATGTGGCATGTGAAGACTGAGGCTGGCCAGGAGACGGGCTCTGGGGCAGAGCCAGAATCGGAACATGGGAGGGAAGCCGGTGAAATGGTGAGCCCTCCCTCGGCACGGCTGCTTTCATGCGGGGGGGGGGGAGAGAACAGACTGCAGGGGTCCACGATGAAGCAGGTCCCTTGTGAAAATCGCCCAGGGGGTTCGGTGGTCCTCCCTGACTTGCTTTTCCGGACTGTTTTTAAAATTCAGGAGCTGAGCTTTGACCCTGCTTGGGTACAGCCCCCCCCCCAAGGAATTAAGCCGGGCAATTCCTTAGGCCATAAATCGTGCTGAAATGGGTTTGGGTTTTTTTGCTTTCTCGGCAGTTTTAGCACAGGATGATGAATTAGTTTTCTTCTTTCCTCCCCCCCTCCCCAAGATATAAATTGCAAAAGCTTCTTGCCTCTCCCCCCCCTCCCCATTGAGAACCTGATGTGAGGACCCTGGCTTTGCCTTCTCCATGGCAGTTTGGTGGCCTGATGAGTGGAGATGGATGTGTAGAAGGGTTTGAGCCTCAGGTGGAGGCTTTGGGGTGGGGGGGGGATCGGTGCTCAGTGATGGTATAGTCAAAAGGACTGGAAGTGGGATCTGGTCAGGTGGCACCTGCAGGTGCTTCTCTACTCTTGTGGCAAATGTGTGTTGAACTGTTGTTGGGAATTCTCTCGAAGGATCTGTGTGGGACCATACTTTGCTCCCCACGGAGGAGAAGGGGAATTTCTGTGGGTGTACGACGCCAGTCCTGCCTTTTGAGGACTCCTGGTCATCAGCTGCCTCCAGGGACCTTTGGCTTTATTGTCACCTGCTGGAAGTCTCGCCCCACAAGAAGCTGGATTGCTGTGGCTTCACGAGAGGGCAGACGGTTGGGCAGAAATGAAGCCTGCATACAAAACGGGATCATTTCTTCCCTGGCTAATGCAGAACTGTGCAGGGAGGGGGAGACTGGTGGCCTTTTGCAACCTTTTAAAAACCCGTTTCCTCTTAGACAGGCACATTGCCGTGGCATTGTTGCAGAAACAAAATCTTCAAGGCGTTTGCCTCTCCTAGCATTAATCGGAATAGATCTGGAAGGGACCTTGGAGGCCTGCTAGTCCAACCCCCTGCTCAAGCAGGAGACCCTATACAATTTCAGACAACTGGCTGTCCAGTCTTTTCTTGAAAACCTCCAGTGATGGAGCACCCACAACTTCTGGAGACAAGGTGTTCCGCTGGTTAATCGTCCTCACTGTCAGGAAGTTTCGCCTTAATTCCAGGTTGCTTCTCTCCTTGGTTAGTTTAAATTATAAATTAGTTTAGAATAAACTTACTTTATGAGGAGGTCCCATTTACCTGGGTGTCAGCTGTACTTTTGAGCAGTGTTTCCCAAACTTGACAATTTTAAGGCATGAGGACTTTAACTCCCAGCAATGCTGGCTGTGGAATTCTGGGAGTTGAAGTCCACATGCCTTAAAATTGTCACGTTTGGAAAACACTGCTTTTGAGAATCCCTAAGATTAAAAAAAGGGGGGGGGGGTTTCTTGTTGCACTGAGGATGCCAGCCTTCAGCAAGGGGGATTTCCAGGGATTGGAGTGCAGAGTTCAAGAACGTGATGTGGCATACTGCCAGTGTGGGAAACTAGGTGTAACTCACTGGAATTGGTTGAGTTGTAAAAGAGATCACTTTCTGAATTATGGGGTATGAACCCGGAAAAGCACGTCGCTTTTTCATTTAGAATGGGGCGCCCCAAAAACTGGCCATCCTCTTCATCACCCCCCCGATGGTGAGATGCTTTGTGTATTGTCCTAGTGCAGTGTTTCCCAAACTTGACCATTTTAAGGCATGTGGACTTCAACTCCCAGAATTCCACAGCCAGCAACGCTTTTCTTTCTTTCTTTCTTTCTTTCTTTCTTTCTTTCTTTCTTTCTTTCTTTCTTTCTTTCTTTCTTTCTTTCTTTCTTTTTCTTTCTTTCTTTCTTTCTTTCACAGCCAGTTGAAGTCCTCATGCCTTAAAATGGTCAAGTTTGGGAAAGACTGTCCTAGTGTGCGCTAGAGGCCCCCACAACGCAGACACCCACTCAGGCTCAGTCGTGGGAGCCGACTTGGCCCTCTCGGGAAGAGCAGGAAAAGTGAGCTGGGAAAGTGCCTCCCATCTTTGTTTCTCGTCTCTTTCGTTTGCTTAATCCCTTTTTCTCTCCTTTATTTCCCTTTTGTTCGGGGCATCTTTGCTTCTCTGTCTGGGAAAATGGTACATTAACTCTTGCTCACCCTCGCAAGGAGGAATTCTTTGGGGATGCATTAAATGGGTCAGTGCCTTCGGATGCCTTTCCCTGTTGTCTGGGAGATGCCGGCAAGGAGACTCCTAGGATGGGGAAGAGGGGTTCATGGTGGGTTGGCCCTCTAGAGTAAGCCCCTAAAAATATTGTCCTTGTCCCCCTCCTTTCTCTCCCTCCCTCTCCCTTTGCTTCCCCCCCCCCGTACAATGAGAAGTAGAGGTAGGACCAGCAAAGGGAGGAGGGGGCTTGACTGTCTGAGACCCTTGGAAGGGGGTAGAAGGATCTCTCGGAAGATGGTTCTCTTGGAACCCTTCCTGGGTGTTCGAACGTCAGACTGCCTTGACCCATTCTTAAAGACATTCCCAGGCTGGCTGGGAAATTCTGGGAGTTGAAGTCCAACCATCTTCAGGTTGCCAAGGTTGAAAGACTAGAGTCCATTCAAGGTCACTTGAGGACTGCCCCCTCCTGGGTTGAAGAGGGGTCTTCCTGACTGTATTGGATGGACTTGTTGACGGGGGGCATTCTTACTCTTAATTGAGCTTTTTTTTGGCAGGATGGTATGATTTCAGGTCCAGGAAAGTGATATATTCAAGCAGAATTGGTACCTGTCCTCACGTAACTGTCTGTTCTGTGCATCTGCCCACAGTCTCACCTCTCCTAGCCCTATCAACAGTGCAAAGAGTGAATCAGGCAGCACCCCTTCCGAGGAGAAGGCAGGGTTTGACCTTGGCCATGAAGAAGAAGATGGAGAAGAAAAAGCAGGAATAAGGACAGGTAAGGGAAAGGGTCTTCCTACCTAGAAATTTCAGAGTTAAATCTGTCTGTCTGTCCATCCATGTGTCTGTCTGTCTGTCTGTCTGTCTGTCTATCTATCTATCTATCTATCTATCTATCTATCTATCTATCTATATCTATCTATCTATCTATCTATCTATCTATCTATCTATCTATCTATCTATCTATCTATCTATCTATCTATCTATCTATCTATCTATCTATCTATCTATCTATCTATCTAATTTAAATTTATGTGGCTGCCCATCTCCAATAAGGGGGGATGGCTACTAACAGTCAGAAAAACAATATAAAAAACAAAAAAGCGTGTAAAGATCATATAAACACTAATCAACCTATTCGTCCCTCATGATGACTTTTCTATCGTGTTTTCTGGTGCTGTTTCTTGCTTTGGGTAAGGATGTTGACTGGCTGAACAAGGCCATCCGTTTAAAATTGGTGAGCCTTATTGAAAAGGGGTCCTTCCTTGATTTGGCAGCCTGCTTTTAAAAACAGATCATGTCACTAGTGAGAGCATTTATTGGAACTGGATCTGAAGGCGTCTGCAACAAATGGAGAGGCCTGCTGTGGAACAGATGTATCCCCCCCCCCCAAGAAACCGAAAAATAATGTTCAGGGTGATGGTTTCTATTTAATATATATATTTAATATGTTAAGGATGGTGCAAATTCTTCTATCAGCTGCTAAAGCCGGGCCAACTTAGGCTGGGGGACATTTGAGGGAGTGTCGTGTTGTATGTTTTCCTAACTTGAAATCTTCTGAAGATGTGTTTAACAGTTTTGTAAATATTTTCTGCTGTGGGTTTTTTTTATTATGTCTCTGAGATCAAGACAAGTGTCTAATCATCTGTGCATGGTATAGGTAGCCAATTTACTAATTTATGTTTTAATAATATAGTACATTTTACTAATGTGATACCACAATTGGAGCCTCTGTGTATTTTAAAGGGAAAAAGGGACAGAGGAAAGAGATTGGGACGTTGGTAATAAAGCAAATATGATAGAGTGGGGTCTTTCAACCTCGGCAACTTCAAGGCACGTGGACTTCAATTCCAGGAATTCTGGGAGTTGAAGTCCACACCTCTTAAAGTTGCCAAGGTGGAGAAACACCGTGGAGGAATGAAGGCAGAGGGCTTTAAAATGAATATAAATGAAAATAAAGATATTTAAGGACTGAAGCAGAAATCTAGTTTATTTCTCTCTCTCTCTCTTTGCCTTTGGCTTCCTGTTCTTCCCCCTCAGCGACCTGGAGCCACGCGTTTCCAGAGTTAGACCACAGATATGTTGTTTCCCACCTAGAAGAAAATGGGGCTCGGTTGCCCATTGAATGGTCCCCAAAGTGCCCTGCCCCAAGTCTGGAGACTTCATGGGAGGAGCACCTCCTGGAGCAGCAGGATCACTTAGAGAAAGAAATGGAAGAGGCCAAAAGGATGATCTCTGGATTGCAGGTCCTTCCTTCCTTCCCTCCTCCCTCCCTCTTTCCCTTCCTCTCATTCCCATTTCCTTCCTTCCTTCCTTCTTTCCTTCCTTCCTTCCTTCCCTCCTCCCTCTTTCCCTTCCTCTCATTCCCATTTCCTTCCTTCCTTCTCTCCTCCCTCCCTCTTTCCCTTCCTCTCATTCCCATTTCCTTCCTTCCTTCCTTCCTTCTTTCCTTCCTTCCTTCCTTCCTTCCTTCTTTCCTTCCTTCCTTCCTTCCTTCTTTCCTTCCTTCCTTCCTTCCTTCCTTCCTTCCTTCCCTCCCTCTTTCCCTTCCTCTCATTCCCATTTCCTTCCTTCCTTCTCTCCTCCCTCCCTCTTTCCCTTCCTCTCATTCCCATTTCCTTCTTTCCTCCCTTCTTTCCTTCCTTCCTTCCCTCCTCCCTCCCTCCCTCTTTCCCTTCCTCTCATTCCCATTTCCTTCCTTCCTCCCTTCTTTCCTCCCTTCTTTCCTTCCCTCCTCCCTCCCTCTTTCCCTTCCTCTCATTCCCATTTCCTTCCTTCCTTCCTTCCTTCCTTCCTTCCTTCTTCCCTCCCTCCCTCTTTCCCTTCCTCTCATTCCCATTTCCTTCCTTCCTTCCTTCCTTCCTTCCTTCCTTCCTTCCTTCCTTCCTTCCTTCTTCCCTCTTTCCCTTCCTCTCATTCCCATTTCCTTCCTTCCTTCTCTCCTCCCTCCCTCTTTCCCTTCCTCTCATTCCCATTTCCTTCTTTCCTCCCTTCTTTCCTTCCTTCCTTCCCTCCTCCCTCCCTCCCTCTTTCCCTTCCTCTCATTCCCATTTCCTTCCTTCCTCCCTTCTTCCTTCCTTCCTTCCTTCCCTCCTCCCTCCCTCTTTCCCTTCCTCTCATTCCCATTTCCTTCCTTCCTTCCTTCCTTCCTTCCTTCCTTCTTCCCTCCCTCCCTCTTTCCCTTCCTCTCATTCCCATTTCCTTCCTTCCTTCTCTCCTCCCTCCCTCTTTCCCTTCCTCTCATTCCCATTTCCTTCTTTCCTCCCTTCTTTCCTTCCTTCCTTCTCTCCTCCCTCCCTCTTTCCCTTCCTCTCATTCCCATTTCCTTCCTTCCTTCCTTCCTTCTTTCCTTCCTTCCTTCCTTCCTTCCTTCTTTCCTTCCTTCCTTCCTTCCTTCTTTCCTTCCTTCCTTCCTTCCTTCCTTCCTTCCTTCCCTCCCTCTTTCCCTTCCTCTCATTCCCATTTCCTTCCTTCCTTCTCTCCTCCCTCCCTCTTTCCCTTCCTCTCATTCCCATTTCCTTCTTTCCTCCCTTCTTTCCTTCCTTCCTTCCCTCCTCCCTCCCTCCCTCTTTCCCTTCCTCTCATTCCCATTTCCTTCCTTCCTCCCTTCTTTCCTCCCTTCTTTCCTTCCCTCCTCCCTCCCTCTTTCCCTTCCTCTCATTCCCATTTCCTTCCTTCCTTCCTTCCTTCCTTCCTTCCTTCTTCCCTCCCTCCCTCTTTCCCTTCCTCTCATTCCCATTTCCTTCCTTCCTTCCTTCCTTCCTTCCTTCCTTCCTTCCTTCCTTCCTTCCTTCTTCCCTCTTTCCCTTCCTCTCATTCCCATTTCCTTCCTTCCTTCTCTCCTCCCTCCCTCTTTCCCTTCCTCTCATTCCCATTTCCTTCTTTCCTCCCTTCTTTCCTTCCTTCCTTCCCTCCTCCCTCCCTCCCTCTTTCCCTTCCTCTCATTCCCATCTCCCTTCTTTCACCTCCTTTCTTTCCTTCCCTCCCCCTCCCTCTTCCCTTCCTCTCATTCCCATCCTTCCTTCCTTCCTTCCTTCCTTCTTTCCTTCCTTCCTTCCTTCCTTCCTTCTTTCCTTCCTTCCTTCCTTCCTTCTTTCCTTCCTTCCTTCCTTCCTTCCTTCCTTCCTTCCCTCCCTCTTTCCCTTCCTCTCATTCCCATTTCCTTCCTTCCTTCTCTCCTCCCTCCCTCTTTCCCTTCCTCTCATTCCCATTTCCTTCTTTCCTCCCTTCTTTCCTTCCTTCCTTCCCTCCTCCCTCCCTCCCTCTTTCCCTTCCTCTCATTCCCATTTCCTTCCTTCCTCCCTTCTTTCCTCCCTTCTTTCCTTCCTTCCTTCCTTCCTTACCTCCTCCCTCCCTCCCTCCCTCTTTCCCTTCCTCTCATTCCCATTTCCTTCCTTCCTCCCTTCTTTCCTTCCTTCCTTCCTTCCCTCCTCCCTCCCTCTTTCCCTTCCTCTCATTCCCATTTCCTTCCTTCCTTCCTTCCTTCCTTCCTTCCTTCTTCCCTCCCTCCCTCTTTCCCTTCCTCTCATTCCCATTTCCTTCCTTCCTTCTCTCCTCCCTCCCTCTTTCCCTTCCTCTCATTCCCATTTCCTTCTTTCCTCCCTTCTTTCCTTCCTTCCTTCCCTCCTCCCTCCCTCCCTCTTTCCCTTCCTCTCATTCCCATTTCCTTCCTTCCTCCCTTCTTTCCTCCCTTCTTTCCTTCCCTCCTCCCTCCCTCTTTCCCTTCCTCTCATTCCCATTTCCTTCCTTCCTTCCTTCCTTCCTTCCTTCCTTCTTCCCTCCCTCCCTCTTTCCCTTCCTCTCATTCCCATTTCCTTCCTTCCTTCCTTCCTTCCTTCCTTCCTTCCTTCCTTCCTTCCTTCTTCCCTCTTTCCCTTCCTCTCATTCCCATTTCCTTCCTTCCTTCTCTCCTCCCTCCCTCTTTCCCTTCCTCTCATTCCCATTTCCTTCTTTCCTCCCTTCTTTCCTTCCTTCCTTCCCTCCTCCCTCCCTCCCTCTTTCCCTTCCTCTCATTCCCCTTCCTTCCTCTTCTCCCTTCTTTCCTTCCTTCCTTCCTTCCTTACCTCCTCCCTCCCTCCCTCCCTCTTTCCCTTCCTCTCATTCCCATTTCCTTCCTTCCTCCCTTCTTTCCTTCCTTCCTTCCTTCCCTCCTCCCTCCCTCTTTCCCTTCCTCTCATTCCCATCCTTCCTTCCTTCCTTCCTTCCTTCTTCCTTCCTTCCTTCCTTCCTTCCTTCCTTCCTTCCTTCCTTCCTTCCTTCCTTCCTTCCTTCCTTCCTTCCTTCCTTCCTTCCTTCCTTCCTTCTTCCCTCCCTCCCTCCCAAATCTAAGACTTGATGCTAGAAGGCCATTGCTTGCAGTGGTTTTGTCTGTTGCTTCCCTTCCTCCATTTTGATTCTGCTACATTTCTTCAGAAGGTCGAGCCCCTCTTCACCTCTCTGGATCTCCCAGGGAAGGTCGAATTTCCCGGGAGGGGGGAGGGTTCCATGGAGCCACCTGGCTGAGCGGGTGGCTCTTTGCCCTTCTTGTCCTGCCAGGCGTTGCTGCTGAACGGATCGCTGCCGGAGGACGAGCAGGAGCAGTCGCTGGGGCTTTGCGAGCAGGAAGCCAGTCCTGAAGAGCAGCTGGTGAGCCGTTTCTCCCGACCCCCCTTCCTGAACGGGCTGAGGGGGCGCTGGGAAATAACGGCTCCCTTTGGCCTTTAGGTCATCCTCCGGAGCCGCCTGGATCAGAGTCTGGAGGAGAACCAGGACCTGAAGGTGAGCAACACCTGGAGATGGAAAAAGGGCTGCTCGGACCCTTTTAGGAAGCTGCTGCATCCAGATGTGCCGGGACAGGAAGTCCTTGATATAGGACTGTAATGGGACCTGCCTGTTAACGGTTATTTGTCTGGACGGTTGTAAAATGAGTCAGTTACATGACCAGACCAACCTGATTTTACGACTTTTTTGTGACGGCCTTAAAGCAGATACATACTGTGGTGGTTAAGGCAACCGTTGGGTTCTGGGCGTTCTTGGCATCTGGCCTAAAGGGCAGCCAGGCTTGGGCGTGCAGAATTGATTTCAACCAGGATGTGGGGAGAAAGGGGCTGAACCCCCTCTCCTTTCTTTGGCTTCTTTGCAGAAGGAACTTCAGGCCTGCAAGCAGGACAGCCGAAACCTGCAAGGTATCAAGGTGAGAGTGAACATTTGCAAAGGAGAGGGTGGGGGAGGAAGCAGGCAGCTTTGGGGGGGGGGAATCTCCAGAAGCCCGTGGGAGGCAAAATTAGAGGGGCATGCTGTAAGTCTAGGAAACAAATAAAGTAAGGTCAGGCTAATGAAAGCTATTGGGGTTCCCTCTTTAAAAAAAATAGCAGACTAGAAAGAGATGGAAATATCATTTCAAACCCTGTGAAAAGCTGCAAATTTACCACTCTGCAGCATTGATATATATATAGGGGTGCTTGGAGCCTCAAATGGGGTGCGTTTGTTTGTTTGTTTGTTTATAGGATGCCCTGCAGCAACGGCTGGCCCAGCAAGACACTCTGATGCTTCAGATCAAACAGGAGCTGCTGAGAGCGAATATGGACAAGGAAGAATTGCACAGCCAGAATGTGAGTGCGTCTTTTTGTGATGTGCCAAACCATCTGACAGAGGGCAAGGACTGTCTCTGGAGGGCACAGGATCTGGGAGGGTCTTCCCTGGGGTCTCTGGGGGAAGGAGAAGAAGGGAGAGGGGTGGGATGGCCAGGAAGCCTCAGTTCCACTGCTGGGGAGGGAGGGGGGCTGTTGGAAAGGGCCGGGTGGTCCCTGTTGCCTTGCAGAGGGCCAGAAAGGCAGGCTTCGGATCTGCTCCCGGATGCTTCAGCCTGAGGTTGTCAGCCATAGTCCCAACTCCGTGTTCGAATCTTGCTTGCGCAGGCTGATCTCCAGAGGAAGGTGGAAGAGCGGAACCGGCTTCTGGCAGAGTACAAGGTAGGGGGTCTTACCTGGGGGAGGGGTGCCTTGGGAACTGCTGCTTCCCAGGTAACCAGGAAGTCCTTTCCTCTCGGCTTTCGGAGGCTCAGACCATGGAGAATTCCCCACCAAGAGAGCCCAGGAGCAGAACTCGTAGCCCCTTGGCGGCCTCTTACTCCATCTTGTTGACCCCAGTCGACATTCTGCTCTTCCCCATCTTGGGGTAGCTGCGAAGGACCCAAAGCAGCCCCTTGATCCTGAACTTGGCCCCAGACTGAGTCTCCTTTCCTGGCCGATGGCTCCCATCCTACCTCTCTCTTCCAGAAAGAGCTAAGCCAGAAGGACCGGCTCCTGCACCAGCACCAGGCCAAGATGGAGGAGATGCTACACCAGCTCTCCGAGGCGGGCTATCAGCAGGTAGGGGCTCCCCCCATCTCCCTGTGTCCTCCTTCCCCTCCAACGGGAGGCGTGCTATGCTGCTTTTATGCCCTTGCCAGCCGCCCAGAGTCCCTTTGGATAGTGAGACGAGCGGCATATAAATTTAATAAATAAAACTAACTAAACCGTGCCCATTGGCTGATCTGCCTCTTCCCTCCTAGGCCGAGTTGGAACGGGAGCTGCAGCATAAAGAGGCTTTGCTGGCTCGCTGCCTGAAGAAGGACGTGGAGGAGGTTTGTGGTGCTCCAGTGGGCCATGGGTTCGCCTTTGCACTGACTTCTAATTGTGGAGCAGCGCACTAGAAGAGGGCGAGTCACAGGGACTCTTGACAGGGCCCATACCCTTAGTTCCCTTCTTTCTTTATCTCTGAAAGGAGGCGTGTGCAGGCCAGCCAAGATGGTTTATTACGTAGCTTTACCTGCTAGAAGGGAGTGGGGTTTGTGGGGAGGAGGAGGAGGAAGAAGAGAAGGAGGCGGAGGACCATGGGGTGATGATATAGGTAGTGACGATGTTATTTCGGTAGTGGTTTGATCTCCAAATGTCAACAAGACATTGATAATCAAAGGAAAATAAGACAAGCAAATCCTACTGATGATGTTACCTAGTCTGGTGACAAAACTTTCAGAAACCAAATTGAAACAAGCTTGGGGCGTAAGCCACTACCAAAATCTAAAACCCGAGCTGCAGGTATTTTCTATTATTTCAAAGCGATGAAGTTATCTAGTTTGGGCCATGAAACGTCTGCAAGAAAACAACCAAGCTCAGAGAGCACCCAGGACCCCCCAGAGATGAGGTCAACCCTGAGTTACTTGGGGGAGGGGTGCGATAGACGGCTTGGGTCCCTGCCACTTTGCGGGATGCCCAGAATGGACTGGCGGAAGGGGCCTCCAGGTCAGCTCTGCTCCTTCAAAAGCTGCCCTTTTCTCAAACTGGGTCACCCGCAGAGTGTGGTGAGAGACGACGCTGGTCTGCCAGCGCCTTGTAGCTTCCTAGCGAGGCTTGGGAGCAGTTGCTGGGTTTCCACCTGGCCTTTCCTGGCCTGGCCAACCAGCTTCCCTCCTCTCTTGCAAAGCAGGTGATTCTCTACGCCAATCACAACTCTCAAAGCAACGGGTTCCTCCAGACTTTGGGGAAAGGAACGGCTTCCTCAACGCACAGAGGGGTATGTTCTGCTCTGACTCCAAGGCTTGGGACGGGAGGTCTTTCCCCAGGCCTGGGGGGACCATCCTCAATTTTGCAAGCTTTTGGGGGGGAGGGATAGAGGAACTCTCAGAGCATTGGGATGGTGGCATCTGCCACCTCCTGGTTTTTTGGACCTCTCCCGGCAGACCAGCGACCTGCAGCTGGTGCGGGAGGCCCTGCGCAGTTTGCGGAACAGCTTCAGCGGCCACGATCCCCAACACCACACCATTGACAGCCTGGAGCAGGGCATCTCCAGCTTGATGGAGAGGCTGCACCGCATGGAGATGCAGAAGAGGCAGGACAAGAGGGTAAGAAGCCATTGGTGGATGTGGTTTGGCCTTCCCACCCTTTGGGGAACTCATAATTTCCTTCCCTTCTCAGAAGCAGCCCTCACACTGGGCTTAGGTGGGACACATAAGTGTCCTTGTGCTCTTGAGTCTCTTCTTCCGCCATGGAGGTGGCCATAAAGTCTACCTGAAGTCCATTATTGGAGGGTCTTCACAAAATAGGTTCTGCTCTTGGCTTCTGGGACTGATCTGTCCAGCCACTTGGTGGATCCTCTTCTCTCACCAGATCTCCTTTGTGCTGGAGCTGTGAAGGCAGCTCAGCTCCTGTCCTCAGGCAATGTCTCAGTCTGAGGAGCTACAGGCCTTGCCTTCTCCCCAGAGCTCCTATTTCGCTCCTGTGGGGGTCCCTTTGAGCAGAGCCGTGTGGGTGCAACAACCCTCCATGGTGCCTTTGTTTCAAGCAGGGTCCTTCAATCAGGCCAACCCATCTTCTCTGTTGGGAGAGCCTCTTGGGTTTCTTCAGAGAGCATCCCGGAAGGACCATCCCAAGTGCTGATATCCCCTCAGGGGACGTTCAGCTTAATCCAGAGTGCTGGGAACTTGCAGGAGGATTTCCAGTCAGCCAGTGGTTATAGCTTCAGTGTAGCTGGGGGCTTCTAGGCTCCTCTGGAAGAAGCAAATCTGGGTTCAAGCAATGAGAACCAGGTCATTGCTTAAAATAAGAGAAGGCTTTTGGTCAAATGGTTGCAGATGCCATCTGGATGCTTTTGATACACACACACACACACACACACACAGTACGTCTTGGACTCAACTCAGGTATGAGTTGAGTTGAGTTGAGTTCTCTGAAAGAGAGCAGGAAGAGGGTCCAAGGAGCCCATCTCTCGTCCATCTGCTTTCCTTGTCCAGGTCCGAGGGAAGTCGCCTGCAGGCCACGTGGGGAACGAATGCCGAGAATCCTGGCCTTCCAATTCCAGTGAGTGCCGTTCCAGAAGGCAGTTCTCCTTCTCCACAGGGAAACATCTTGCTTCAGGAGGCCCATAGGCCAGGGGCCCTGCGAATTATCCCTTTTTTGAAAAATGGGGCTGGCTTTCCTGCTCCCCTTGGCCGCTTGGACCCAGTTCTTCCTCTTTCTTAACCCAAGCATGCCGTCTTTTAAGCAGCCTGCCTGGATCCTGTTATTAGCACAAAGGGAACAGCCGCCTCTCTGGATATTGGGGCCTCCCGAACACCTAATTATAAAAATAACTTCAATACATTGAAATATACCAGCCTCCTTCCAGGGACTCTGGGTGGTTTATAAACAATTAAAGCATTTAAAAAGAAGGAAACAACACAAAACAATGTTAATTGGGGGATTTTCTGTTTTTAAATTTAAAAATAAGTAAGTAGCACTTAGCTACAGCTAGTCCTTGATTTAAGACCACAGCTGAGCCCAAAGTTTCTGTTGCTAAGGGAGACATTGGCTAAGTGAGTTTTGCCTCATTTTATGACCTTTCTTGCCACGGTTGTTAAGTGAATCACTGCAGTAGTTAGTAACACGGTAGCTAAGTGAATCTGGCCTCCCCCTTAACTTTGCTTGTCAGAAGGTCGCAATAGGGGATCACGTAACCCTGGGACATGCGACCGTCATAAATGTGAGCCAGTGGCCAAGCATCTGAATTCTGATCACATGACTACAGGGATGCTGCGACGGTCGTAAGTGTGAAAAACGGTCCTAAGTCACCTTTTCTCAGTGCCGCTGATGTAACTGTGAACTGTCACTAAATGGTTGTAAATTGAGGACTCCCTGTATTCCAAAAGGGGGCTGCAAAGTGGCTTCCTGAGAATAAGGCACCATCTAGTGATCAAAGGTGGAAATGCAGCCTTGGGATCCCAAGTGAAGGATATTGGTATCTTTCTAACCCAGCTCCCCCCTCTCCCCCCGTACTTTTTATAAAGGTGCCACATAAAAAACCCCACTTTCTTCAGCCAACTGTCCCTCAAACGGCCCCTTTTACAATCTCCTTTTTTTAAGCTCAGGATGGAAGTTCAAGAGTGGTTCAAGGGTGGTTTCTCCAATCCATCTCTCTTAGTCCAGGGAGAACAAATCTGGCCTGTTGGATTAAAGAAGGCTACGGGCTGTGTGTGTATGTGTGTGTGTGTGTGTGTGGAAAGAAAGTGGGCTCACTGCCTGGCGGGGCTCAGCCTGTCTTCTCCTCTTTGCAGAACTGCCTCATTCTCACAGCACCCCAGCCGTGAGCAGCGGCGCCTGCACCAAAGTGCTGTATTTCACCGATCGCTCCCTCACCCCCTTCATGGTCAGCATTCCCAAGAGGTAAGCCGGCAGCCCCCCTCCCATCCCCATAACCCCAGCCCCAGATCCTCTTTCCAGGGCCCCCGAGTGGGTGTCTCCAAGGGATTCCCCTCCCAGCGTGAAGGTGGTAGCTGTGCCCTTCCTCTCCCCTCGTGCTTTGCAGGTTAGGGGAAGTGACGCTAAGGGACTTCAAAGCGGCTATCGATCGGGACGGGACGCACCGGTATCACTTCAAAGCTCTGGATCCGGAGTTTGGGACTGTCAAAGAGGAGGTAAGGGCGCACCCAGCAGGCACAGGAACCAAGATCGACACAGGTAAAGGCCCGTAGTATAATAGTCCTCGACTTAACAACAGCTGATTTAGTGACTGAAGTTACAACAGCACTGGACAAAGTGACTTACGACCGTTTTTCACACTTACAACCATTGCAGCATCCTCCTGGTCACACGATTTACATTCAGATGCTTGACAGCTGGTTCATATTTATGACGGGGTCACGTGCAGTGACCCGGCCGGGGTGTCACGCGATCCCCTTTAGCGACCTCCTGACAAGCAAAGTCAATGGGGGGAGCCAGGTTTCCTTCACAACCATGTTGCTAACTTAATAACTGCAGCGGTTCTCTATGCAAGTGTGGCGAGAAAGGTCACAAAATGGGGCCAAACTCACTTCACAACTGTCTAACTTAGCAACATAAATTTGGAGCTGAATTGTGGACCATACGTTGAGGACTAGCTGTGGTTTCTTTATTGCTGTTCGCCCGTGAACAGAATCTTGCCAGAGTGAAGCGCGCTCTGTGTAGTTATCTGACAAATGCTGTGAAGGATTTAAGGGGGATCCTTTCTGTGCAGCTCCTGCCTGGCAATGAAGAGGGACGTTGGCTTTGCCCCCCCCCCCAACTGAGCCCCAGATTCTGCCCACCAGCATCTTTTCTGTGGGCTGCAGAAGTCGCCCTACACACGATGGGATGTTTCTTCTCCCTGGAAATGCTGGCGTTTGGCTCTCACCGGTGGAGCAAAAGCCAAGGGGCAGGAAAGTGTGTGTGTGTACGTGTGTGCTCATATGCATGCGGGAGCATGAAAAAAAATCACACCCTGCAGCCCTGAACAACAAGAACGTCCCAGTAAGCTAGAAAAGTGGGTCAGCTCTGCTTTTTCCTCCAGAGAGCTCCAGAGTGGTGTGAGTTTTGAGTTCTCACTTGTCATGTTCAGAGTGAGGTTCGGTTTCTCAAGAATTGTGGTGACAGCCTCAGGGCCTGTCCTAGAAACGCCGAAGCGGAGATTTCAGGCCAGTTCCCGGTTAGAGGCAGGCGACCCCTGGGCTGTTTCCAGTCCCCATCTTTTAATCAAGGCTTTCATCAAGGTTTGTATGTTTCAATCGAAGGCTGCCCAGAGTTGCTCTCTGAAGGAGTACAGCTATTCCTCGATGTACGACCACAATTGAGCCTCAGATTTATGTGGCTAAGTGAGACAGTTGTTAAGTGAGTTTTGCCCTGTTTTACAACCTTTCTTGCCACAACTGTTAAGTGAATCCCTGCAGTTGTTCAGGGATTCAGTTAGTTACACAGGGGTTAAGTGAATCTGGCTCCCCCATTGGCTTTTGCTTGTGAGGAGGTCACAAAAGGGGGGATCACGTGACCCCGGGACACAGCAAGGGTCATAAATACATCTCAGCTGCCAGCTGAATTTTGATCATGTGACCACAGGGATGCTGCAACGGTCATAAGTGTGAAAACCGTCATACGTCCCCTTTTTCAGTGCCATTGTAACTTTGAACGGTCACTAAATGGACTGTTGTAGGTCAAGGACTACCTGTAGCTTATAAATTAGATGGTTGGATAGATGGACCTTAACCTTGACAACTTTAACAGGTTGTTAAGAACTCCCAGAGTTCCTCAGCCAGCTGGGGAAAACTGGGAGTTGAAGTCCACCCATCTTAAGATTGTCAAAGTTGAGAAACACTGCTGTAGATGGATGGATGAATAAGTTCCTTCTCTTTGATTTTCATGTAGGTTTTCCATGATGACGATCTTATTCCCGGATGGGAGGGCAAGATTGTGGCTTGGGTGGAAGAGGACCATGGGGAGAATTAAAACCTTTGCTGTCGGCTGCTGGATGTGCCAGATACTCACCAAAAAACCCCCCCACCCCTCACACCAATGATACGTGTGATTTAAACTGCCAAAAGAAAGGAACCGTGATGAACTTTGGCTTCAAGGAAGGATGTCCGTCACATTATAACCAAATACGGTCCCTTTCAACTGTTCCAACACACTGCCTCTCTCTTTGGTCAGGGATGGTCCTAAAAGACTTCTTGCTGCTTTTGATCATCTGGAGAAGTTTGGTCAACGATGGACAGCATTAGGAGTAAGATTTGCACGTTTGTGATGGCCAAAACTAGGAACTCTTTTCTAGCGCTGTTGTAGCTCTCTTGCCAGCCAATTTTTCCAATGAACTCTGTGCCCAGGCCACATCAGGCACCAGCAAGATCTCCTCCAGAGATCCAGTGGTTTGTGGTCCAGATCAAAGATCCAATCAACAGCATTGTGTTGGAAAAGGCCAGGATTGTTACATTTGCTTTTATTATTTTGCATTCTGGTCTTGAAATTTCCCTACTTTATTTGAGGGCCTGTGTGAAAAAGATTGCTAACCTGCCCAGGTTCCCCTTCTGGCTTTGCCTGGGGAAAAGACCCCAAACTCCCCATCTTTGCTTTTCCAGGGTTGTATTGGCACCACATGATCTTCTCTGCCCTACTTTCCTTCTGGATAATTCATCACCAGCAGCCTCAGAGGAAAGGCTGATCTGTCTGGTTTCCTCATAGCTTGGTCTGAATTTGGCATTGGTTTTTCCACTTAATGGCTAATTTCAGTCTGCCTTACCAGCTGAGATGGGTAGATAAGGTAGGTGGAAAGCGAGATAAACGTTCACAAAGGGTTGCAGCAAGATTCCTGGAAGGTCTGTGAGCAGAAAGCGGCCAAAACTCCAGGCCCTTTATGGGCTGAAGCTTTTGCGCATAACTCCAGCAACTGTCAAGTAGTCTTTTCCCTTTGCCTTGCTGGCTCTTCTGCTGACAGCAAGTAGGTCATCTGCCTGGTGGGCCTCAAGCAGAATTTAATTTAGGCCCCCAATGCTCACCCCACCACTCGTTTGCAATGGTCTGCAAAACTGGTGGTTCAGCTCTTGGAACCATCAGCCAGCTGGGTGATCTTAGCCACTCTGGAACCTGTTAAGAATTTTGCACCAGTCAGACTTCAGACATAAATAGGACAGATGCATCAACTTGTGGACTACTGAGTTTGTATAGAGGTTGGAGATAAACGCTCTAATGGAGTGAATTATTCATTCTTAGCTTTATAGAGAAAGCAGGCCTGGACAGGTTGAGTGTTTTAAGGGGGAATATTTTGATGCACAAAGCGTTTACCATTATTCTATACAAGCCTCAGTTCCTTAGGAACTGAGCCAGTCAGTGGACCGAAGTCACCACAAGTGAAGAGTTACCTAGGTAGGTGTCTCTAAGAGGCCATCATGATGTCATGAGTGTGACATCACCTGCCCACCCATGCAGAAGTCTGTGATAACAGGGTACCTTTTTCTTCTACACTCTTCCTGATTTTTGTGCTCTAAAATGCTGAATTAGGAGTGGGAAGTATCACCTTTGCATATCTTGCGCAACCAAACGCCTCAGCTCTACTTGAATGAAAAAATGGGGCCCAGTGAAAGCCAGAATTTGCTTTAGTGTTGCTGCTTTGCTGCTCGCCATTCCATCTTTCCTAACGTTGCAGTACCAGGCTCCGAAGCCTCGTAGCTGCTTGTGTGCACCAGCCAGCGGAAGGACCGTCCGCCCGTGTGTCCAGCCGTCTTCTATGTCCTTCTTGCAGAAGGCTGAAAGTCAAAAACGAATCGTGTCTTTGATCATTTTATAGATTTCCACACATCTGTTGGGTAAACTTGTTCCTGTTTCTTGGAATTACTTTGTATTGCTTTACATCATTGTTGAACAAGGACAGTGTATATTTTTATACCAGCATGAGTGCTGTTTTTTCCTGTATATTTCTGAATATTGTATTTTATTCATATTTCTAGGAAATGCAGAAAGGCTTTATACGGGCCTCTTGTTAATGCCAACACACCTGGTTCCCATAATTAGCTTTATTTTGCTATGAAGGTATATCTTAAGTCCACAGTGGTTTTCTATTTTACTTGTTTGTTGCAAAGACAAGATTTGTATGTTGTTTGTCCTATTGTGTCCTCTGTGTACAGACAGAACGGGCCTTTTGAAAGCCTGTGTTTGTATTTGCAGTTACACTCTGAGTGTATCCTATTATAGGAGTTTTAAAGTTGGCTTCTGAGAGAACAGTGGATGAGGGATGTCATTCCTGAAAAAAATACCTTTTTTGTGACTGGTTTGACTGTTGCATGAATTTAGTGGGTTGCAAAGAGATTGCATGGAATTATAGTTACTTTAAAAAAAAATATTTCTGCAAGAGATGTGCTTTAAAGTTAAAATTGTACATTTTTTTTAAAAGAACATATTTTATTTAAATTTAATTAAGACATCTTTATCACAAGGGCTTATCGCCAGACATGGGAAAATAGAGGTCAAAGAAGTGTAAAAGTGTTTTATGACCGGATTGGCATCTTTTGCTTCCATAAAACTAATCTCATTTTTTAAAATCTCAGTTATCTCTGAACTTTGTCCCTGAAATAACATAAACAGTGTTGCATTACCGGTTCTAGGATCATTTTTTTCTCCCTTGGCACCATCCCCAACCTGTTTGCTCTTGAGATGGCTTGGATTGGAGCAGATCTTAATCCTAGGGCTAACCTGGTTGAGGGTTATGGGATTTTTATCCAGCAGGAGAGCAGGCCCAGGGAGTCTGCCCTACCCAGGATGTCCAGCCTTGGCAACTTTTAAGACTTGACAACTTCCAACTCCCAGAATCAGGGAGCAGAAAAGCAACCATAACCAAGGTCAACCCTCGCATTTTTCATTCAGGAGTTTTCCAACCTGTGACTCATTATGCAAAGGGGAGAGAGCAAATTCCCAGCCCCAAGTGTGTGTGTGTGGGGGGGGATGTTTTTCCATAGGGCAAGACAATAACCAGAAAGCTGAGTCTCAGCCGTGATGTTATTTCCTGAACAGTTTGTTTAGTGACCTTTCAAAGTTACAACAGCACTAGAAAAAGCAATGACTGTTTTTCAGACTCATGACCTTTGCAGCATCCCCCCATGGTCATGTGATTCAAATTCAGACACTTGGCAACCGGCTCATATTTATGACAGTTGCAGCATCCTGGGATCATTTGATCCGGCTTTGTGACCTGATAAGCAAAGTCAATGGGGAAGCCAGATTCATTTAAGAACTGTGTGATGACTGCAGTGATTCACTTAACAACTATGGCAAGAAAAGTCGCAAAACGGGGCAAAACTCGCTCAACAAATGTCTTAGTTAACAACAAATGTTGGTCTCAATTGTCGTAGGTCAAGGACTACCTGTATTTAATTCCGCGGCTCTTTAGAAATGCATTTTCTGGGCTTCTCTACCAGCTACCCGTGAAGCTCGCTCTTGCCTGCACACGTGCAACCTGCAGTCCAAGGAGGAGCAGCGGCGCTGGGCTCCCAACCCCCCAAGGGATCCCCGATCCAAAGGAATCCAAAAAGGACGCAGGCTCCGCGGATTGCTTGGGGGGGGGCAGCTCCGGGGTGGGCGCGAAAGGGGGCGCAGAGCCCACCATGCAAGGAGATTCCCCCCCCTTTCTTGGAAGGGACCCCTCCTTGGATGCATTTGGGTCCGGCGCAAACCGGGGACGGGATGCACCCGAGCCCGGCCTGCAGCCCCCGGCACAGCACGAAACCCACCTGCCCCCTCCCCTTTTTTGCGCAGACCCGCCTCGCTGCCGAAGCGGCGCAAAGGCAGCTCCGCCCGCAGCAGCAGCAGCAGCGGCCACGTGCAACCTCGGGGAGCAGAGCGCATGCGCGGCCCGGGAGGTCGCCTCGGGTCAGGACGCGCCGGCCGAAGCCCCGCCCCCTCCGCGCGCTGCTTGACGGCCCTTTTGCGACGCCGTTGCGCGACGCCCCGCGCTGTTCGCCCGGGGGGAGAAGGGAGGTCACCCGCCCGCCCTCCGCTTGACAGGACCGCTGCTCCGCCGCCGCCGCTCGGGCCGGGATGTGGCGGGTGCTGGCCAGGCGTCTGTTGGCGTGGCAGGGCGCGGCCCCGCGGGGGGCTCGTTTGCCGGGGGCGCGCGCGGAGGGGCCTCCCCGGGGCCGCGCCTGGGGCTGCTGGGCCGCCGCCGTTGGCCCCTCCTGGGGGGCCCGAGTGGGGGCAGGGGGAGGAGGAAGGGCCGCCCCGCTGCTGCCCCCCCGCTGCTCCGCCCCCGCGCCCCCCCGCCGCCACCGGTGCAGCCTCCCGCCCCACCAGAAGGTGAGGGGCGCCGGTCTCCCGCCTCCCCCCGCCTTATTTACCTGAGGGGGCCTTTTCCCCTGGAATCAGGGGGAGGGGGTCTTCGGGGGTCTCGTCCCGGCTTCCCCTCTGGATGGGGGTGGGGTGGGGTTTCCCATAGGTGACTTTGATGCTGAAATCCCCCGTCCTCCCCTCAGGAGCCCACTCTGCCACCCCCGAGCCTCCCTCCCCTTGAGGGGCCTGGAGCGCCTTCATGCCCGGCCGCTTCTCCCCCTCCGGAGCCCCGAGGGGGTTCTGGAGATCTCCTGCAGGGGGACGGGGCTGCGGCAATAAAGGAGAATGTTTGCAGCTCAGGGTTGAAATGAGGGGTTCCTGGGTGCTCCCTCAGCTTGGAAGGGGCTGGGCCTAATCAACGGAAACTCATCAAGGAGAGACCCAACCTGGAATTAATTAATTCCTGACAGAACAATTAACCCGCTGAATGACTTGCCTCCAGAAGTTGTGGGTGCTCCATCACTGGAGGTTGAGCAGGGGGCTGGACTAGAAGACCTCAAAGGTCCCTTCCAGCTCTGCCGTTCTGTGATTCTTCATCCCTTGCTTCCTCCACAGGTGCCTTTGCCCGCCCTCTCCCCCACCATGCAGATGGGGACCATTGCGCGTTGGGAGAAGAAAGAGGGGGAGAAGATCAACATGGGAGACCTGATTGCAGAGGTATTTTGAAAGGGCAGAAGCGGAAGCTTCCCTGCCAGGCTGATGGGATGGTTGGGAATTTGACCCTCATTTGTCACCTTTCCTGATAGGTTTCTGAATTAGCAACATTGTGCATGAGACTCTGCATTTTCACTCTGCTAACACTTTTTTTGTCACTCTTCGTGACTGATATGGGAGGTAGAACTTGACTTGGACGGGATTGCTGAACAGTGTACAGTTGTGAAATGTATTTCAGGGAAATTGTTGTGTGTGTGTTAAAGGTAGAGACAGACAAAGCAACTGTGGGGTTTGAGAGCATGGAAGAATGCTACCTGGCCAAGATCCTGGTCCCCGAAGGAACGCGGGATGTTCCCATTGGATCCATCATCTGCATCACTGTGGACAAGTGAGTCAGACTAGGCAGGTTCCCAATATCTTTTACTTCCTTCATTTTTCTTTCTCCCCCCTAATTATTACAATTTTAAAAAACCTCTCCCACCACCACAATTTCTCCCTTTAAAGGTGCCTGTCTTTCTATTAAGTTAATGTTCTTTTTCAACAGCAAACATGTCCTGGGTCTTGTATGGTCTTGCTTCCCATCTTCTGGTTTTAAGGCTTGAGTGGGTTCCTGATTGCAGTGTTAGAGGACTGCCATCCCTTGATAGTGGCTTAAGATTCCTTCCTTTTTTTAGGCCTGAACTTATTGGCGCCTTCAAGGATTATACTTTGGATTCAGCAGCTGCCACCCCATCGGCCTCGGTGCCACCCCCACCTCCTCCAGCAGCTCCCCCCAAACCAGCAGCTCAGCCATCTGCACAAGCTCCAGGCAGCTCCTATCCTCCCCATATGCAGGTACGACCCACCTCCCAGTTTGTATTCTTTTCTCGCCCACTTTCCTTATGGCACATTTTAGCTTCATAACCTCGGCTCAGTGCCTGCTGTGAGCCTCAGTGCCTGCTGTGAGCCTCATTTGCTGAGGGAGCAAGAGAGCACATGGGCTGTTTTGATGGATCTGAAGGCCTAGTGGATGATTCCATTGTCCAGGCATGGATGGAACTTCCAGTATCTGTTGAGTGACTTTGATTCTGGCTGTGAACATTGAAACTCAGAATTCAGATGCACTGGTTATATAATCAGAATGTTCCTTTGCATGATACTCATGCTTCTCTTCTTCAGAGGAATTTTTTGTTCGGTTAAATGTCCGCAGTGCATTTTATCTTTTAATTTATTCTTTGTAACAGAGGCAAAGAAGGGCAAATGTTGACTGGTAATGCTGGATTTTGAAATGCAGATCAATGCAGTGCTGCCTTTTCCACTCTCCTAGATTCTTCTTCCTGCCCTCTCTCCTACAATGACAATGGGCACCGTGCAGAGGTGGGAAAAGAAGGTTGGCGAGAAGCTAAGTGAAGGAGATTTATTGGCAGAAATTGAGACAGACAAAGCAACAATAGGTGAGAATTTTTCCATCCTCAAGAACAAAATCTTTGTGGGAGGCTTTGCTGTTTGCTTTTCTTACAGGGTGAGCAAAATGGACAAGATCCCCTTTTTCATCCTTACAACATTAGATAACAGCACCGGTTAATATGGCCAGAGCAATATTTGAAACATTATTCATTTGCCTTGTAAAGGTTAGATATTTGCCCCCCCCCCCAAAAAAAGTTCCAGATTATTTGCCTTGCAGATGGCATTTCCCTATTTCCTAATTTCATGGATGGTTTGTCGGTGATCCTGTTTGCTGGAATGCCTGATGATTTATTCCATCTCCAAGTTTGGTTAATTCCTTTCCCTCCCAAAGTGCTTATTTCTCTCTCTCTCTCTCTACGTTGCAGGCTTTGAAGTGCAAGAAGAAGGTTACCTGGCAAAGATCTTGATAGCAGAAGGCACCCGAGACGTCCCCTTGGGAACCGTTCTCTGCATCATTGTGGAGAAGGAATCGGACATTCCTGCTTTTGCAGACTACAGAGATGTTGGGATCGCTGATATCAAACCTCCCGTGTCCCCACCGCCTCTGCCCCCAAGCCCAGTACGTGCGACCTCCAGAAGGAGACCTCGGGAGGGAAGGCCAAGTGGTAGGGAGTGCCCAGCTGATTTCTCAGAGCCCCAGGGACATTTCAGCTTCCTCTTGGGCAGGAGACTTTCTTAGCTGGAAGTGGCTCTAGACAGTCATTCATTTATTCATAAAATTTATTGGTCACCCATTTTACCACAAGGTAGCTCCCGGCAGCTATAATAAAAGATATTATATATATTAAAAACATAACACCCACAAACGCTATTAATCCTTTACAAATGAAGTGTGGGACTGTTCCTATGCCTTCTTTACCTAAAAAAAAGAAAATCTCTTTGTAAAAAACTACCTAATAAAAAGGCTACTTAACCAGTTTAAAGAAAACATCAGGGTAGTGATGAAGCTTCTATTGGGTGGCAGAGAGACTTTTAGAGAGTTTGGACTGAATACATTTAATAAATAATAAATACATTTAACAAATAATAAATAAGCGGCCTGGCCTGCTCCCACTAGCACTCGTGAGTTTTGACTATGTGTGAATATCGTCCTGCCATAGTCCTGTTGTATGGAGGACTAAAGATGATTAATGCCACATTCTAGGCGTACGTTCATGGATGCAGCAGTCAAAT